CAAAGAACGGCATGTTTCTAATTGACATTCTTTCCTGGTCTGCCAGAACCTGAGTCACACATTTCACAGTGACCTTTCTTGTTCCCAAATATTCTGTTAAAATTCACTGAACCAAGCTCCAAGATATTCCAAATAACTTCCCCATCTCTTCAGTGATTTGTTGTTGGTCTTCGAGGACAAGTGCATGATGTTTGTAGCTATTTTGGACCGTTCTGAAAGTTGAGAGACATCCATAATGATGTTTGTCAGTGTGGTAGTTACACAATTTGTCAATTTGAGGATTAAGAATATAGGGGTGGAGTCTAGGCTGTCAATCAGAATATAGCCAATGAGGCGTCTCTGTGGGCATCACCTTCCCCTAAGGATTGTGGGAATTCCTGTTTTTCCTCCTTGGAGGCAGGAGGCATCTTTCTCTCTGCTCATTGCCTGGAAAACATTGCAGCTGACAAGACACATGGAACTAAACTAAACTAGTGCCCAGCCCACTGAAGCTGGAGAAGCCCCATAGAGACCCCTGCCAGTGCTGAGATGCTTACAACGCCACTGAATCCAAAGACTTTCTACTCACTGGCCTGTGATCATCCTGCATTCGTTGGATGCAAGATGTGTTTCGTCATTGCATGTGTTTCGTGAGTCTGAAGAGGACTTTATAGATTGGTATAGTACATATGGGCTAATATTGGACTTAAGGGCTTGGACTGGACTGGGTTGAGATGTTTAATGTACAATTACTCTTTATATAAGATGCTCTCTTATACACATGAGTTTCTGTGGATTTGTTTCTCTTGTCTACTTGGACTAACACAGTCATCAATCGACATTTTACCAATTTTGAAATAAGAAAACCACTCTTACACTTTCGTTTTTCCCATAGTGCTGTCCTTGTAAGCTGTGTTCACATCAGAATACTTTCTACAGTAAGCAAAATGTCACAGTTGCGTGCTGTTCTCTTAAATTGGCCATCACAAGAAAATAATGGTTCAATTGAAGCTGCTTTCACACAAAAAAAATTCACTGTGACTAGAGAGAACCTTCCCAGGCAACGCCACTGGGTGCACTAACTCAGTGAGTTGCCTAATCCTCACCTAGCAGGAAAAATGTGTACTACGAAAGCTCCGCCCAGCAGAGCTTTTTTCTATTTTGGGGGGAGGTACCCCCTCTTAAAAGGTTTCTGGAATGTGTAAGGACCGAAGAGTAATTAAAGATCAAATGTATCATGAATAGAAGTTGTCTCTGGAATCCCAGTATTTCACTGCAGTCTTGGTTCTGAACACATTAACATGTGCTTAATGCCAAAAGCTGATCAGCTGAGTTAGAAGTTGTGCTGCATAGTACTTTCAAAATCACTGTTTATTAAAAGCTGTGTTTTAATTGTATACATATTTTATATACCTCTATACCTGGAGTCCCGTACAAATTTCGTAGGCAAAAAAACGGGACTGTGTGGAAAAAGTTTGAGAAGCTCTGTGTATGTTTCATAATTGACTTGATAGCAAATGATGATGGGAAATACAGGTGGAAATCAAGATTAATAAGTTAAATGTAAAGCTTAAGGTTTGGAACAGAGATCCTAACTGAAGATAGATGTTGCCAGTGACTATGAGCACATATTGTGTATTCAGAATCAAGGTTGCAATGAAATTACATGATGCAATATGGGCAAACCCTGCCAGAAACATCTCTGATTACATACGCATTGAATTTTTATTTACTTTTTGGTCTTTGTATGTTCACAAACCTTTTCGCTATTGTCAAAAATGGCGCTACCCCAAAATTCAGTTACGCAATCCCATATGGAACCACAAGTTAAGAAGCTCTGTCTTCAACAAAATTATTATCCTGCTGATCACAATACAGTGGTTTCAGCAACCTGTGTAACTGCACATTGTCTCTTTATTGGATTTCTTTGACATGTAATAAATTACCACAAACTTAGTGGCTTAAAACAATACCCAATTCAAATCACAAGTTAGAAGTTGAGGTGGCTTTTACTGCATTTTCTTTTCAAGGTCCCACAATGTAAAATCTGGGTGACCTCTGGACTAGGCTCTTAAGTGAACTCTCTGTGGGAAATAATCCACTTCCATACTCATTCAGGTTGTTGGTAGAAACAAGTTCTTTGCATCTGAGGAGCTGAGATGTAGTCTAGTACTATGGCCCTTCTAGCAATAATTCCTTATGTGGTGAATTATATTTCTGGATTCTGTGCCTCTGGATACACTCTCAATTTGGAGGGAGTTTTCTTCTATACTAATGGGCTTGATTGAGATGGGTTAAGCCCTGAACTTAATAGAAAGTGTGAACCAAATCACACCCTTTGTTTCCTTGGGAGTATCTTTAGATTCTCTTTTACTGAGGGGTGTGATTTAAGACACCATCTTTTGTTTTCCTTGGGGGTATGATGGGCTAGTAGACCAAAAAAAACCACACTTCCATCAATGCATTGCTCTGTGTAAAGCAGCCATCTGGAGCAGAGGAAACCCAGGACCATCAGAAGAGCCCCTTCCAGATGCCTATCTGGTGTCTGAGTCCGAAACTAGAAGCGCCAGATACTGTGGCAGGGAGTCTATAGGGCAGAGCAAGAGGACTGGCACAGAAAACATGGGATTTTTGAGGCAGAAAGAGGTCGGCTTCCTAGTTCAGGAAAGCAGAGGCCCAGGGACCATTGGCTGAAAGGGTGAGGACTGGAGAAAGACTTGGCTGCTGGCTAAGGAGAGGTGTTACTGTAGACTAATGTCTATATCCTTACTGTTTACTCATCCTGACATAGTATGACCTATAAATTTTCTAATAAACCCTATAATTGTGAGTATGGTCTGTGAGGTCTGTGTGGCCATTGAAATGAATTATGGAACCCAGGATAGAAGTAGAGTACCCAGGAAGAGCAGTTGGAGTCACAGTAGGTAAAGAAGGCTGGAGCATGTCTGACCCCTGCCTTGTGGCAATAAGGAAGCCAGAAGAGGTCAGATAGGGCCCCATGCCATTTACAGCAGGTGCTCATAGACTTATTTTTTGACAGCCAGGGACTAATCTCTTCTAGAGGCTACTCAGTCCTGCAGTAATCATGCATACATACTTCCCAACACTTTAAATCTCTCTGATTTCTTATGAATCCATCAGCCATCCACAGTCAGCTCCTGTTAACCAAAGTTCTGTATAGTTCTTTATAGTTTCAATCCTGAGTTAGTCAAATATTGACCAAAAAATTTTGATGCCTTCTACTCCTGAAAAGATGGCAATGTTACACTGTCTTGTAGGAGTGCTCTGAGTTAGAAACAACACGATGGCCTTGAGTAATTCGATTTCTAAGATTAGGTCAGGTGTTCATCTTCCATCAAGTCAGTTCTATGCATAGTATCTCTTTGTACAACAGAATGAAACATTGCCTGGTCCAGATCCAATTTTACAATTGTTGGTATGTGTGAGCCCATCAATTCAGCCATTGTATCAATCCGTCTTGTCAAAGCCCTTCCTCTTTTTGACCACCTCTCTACCAAGAATGATGTCATTCTCCAGGGACTTGTTTCTCCTGAAAACATGTCCAAAGTATATGAGATGAAGTCTAGCCCTCTTTGTCTTTAAGGAACATTCTGGTTGTACTTCCTCCAAGACATATTTGTGTGTTCCTTCGTCACTCCCTGATACTATCAATATTCTTCAGCAGCTCCATAATTCAGATGCATTAATTCTTCTTTAGTCTTCCATATTCATTGTCCAACTTTTGCATGCATCTAAAGTAATTGAAAATACCATAGCTTAGGTCAAGCCCCCCTTAGTACTCAAAGTCACCTCTTCGCTTTTCAATATTCTAAAACAGTGGTTCTCAACCTTCCTAATGCCTCGAACCTTTAAAATAGTTCCTCATATTGTGGTGACCCAGTGTGTGCGTATCTGCATGTAGGTGGACCTGTCTGGAGACGGATAGAGGAGCGGTGTCTCGGTTCTTAACACCATCAGAAATTCTGTCCTAGGTGACCCTTGTGAAAGGATTATTCAACCCCCACAAGGGTTGAGACCCCAGGTTGAGAACTACTCTTCTAAAGATTCTTGGGCAATAGGTTTATGCAATACATTGCATTGTTTGATCTCTTAATTGCTTCTGCCATGAGCATTAATTGTGAATCCAAGCAAGAAGAAATTCTTGAGAACTTCAGTCTTTTCTCCATGCCCATAATGTTACCATTTGGTCCAGTTATGAGGATTTGGGTGTTCTTTACATTGAGTTGTAATCCATACTGAAGCTCGCATTCCTTGATCTTTACCAGTAAATGCCTCACGGCCTCACTTTCAGCATTTCCTAAAATCTAGTTGGTATCCCTACCTCTAGCTTAACTATTGTTGCAGTTGCCATCTTATACTGAAGCTATAAATATATAAATTGTATACTTACGTGTCTTTCTTTTTCATCTCGTTATAATCACCTCTAAACTAAAAACCCTCATTTTTATCATTATTTTTCTTCTGGTTTTGTCACTATGTTGCTCAGAGCCTTGGTAGCACACTTGTGGAGCATGAGGCTGCTAACCAAAAGTTAGGCATGTGAATCCACCAATTGCTTTTTGCTGTAGGGGGAAAAAAAGACAAAATCTTCTCACATAAATATTACAGTATAGCAAACCCTAAATGACAGTCTTACTCTGGTGTATAGTGTTACTATGAGCTGGAACAGCTCAAAGATACACAACAGGAACAAATATCTAAGAACTTCTAATTTACTGTTAGAATATTAACCAGGTTCACTTGATATCACCGCCATCCTATACACAAATTCATAGTATGCAACAAGTCTCTAAATAATAAATAATTTTGCACAGTTATAATTAAAGTTACCCCAATATGTAAATTATGTTCTCACTGCATATATTCCAGAAAGTGTACTTGTAACCCATTATAAAATGTATTAATACCACACACCCTGCTAGTGAGAAATATTTCTGGTGAAAGGAAATATTTTTACTTTCCTATTAATTCAAAGCACATACTTACATTTTTGTTTTCAGGTTGGACAAGTCCACTGAAAATCACTCCTCAAGAACCTCTTCATGAAAGATGCTCAATTAATCCTAAATATACATTTAATAAGGAGGAAACATGCATGGTAAGATTTTTTTCTTGGATACTGTTGTATAATATTTGTCATTAATTTACTTTATTGCCTCTGTTTGATATTTTCTATTCTTGACCTCATTAGAAATATCATAATTTATTATATAGATATAGGAACCATGGTAGCACAGTAGTTATAAGTGTTCCATTTCTAGCCAAGAGGTCAGTGATTCAAACCAACCAGTGGTTCCACAGGTGAAAAATTTAGTGGTCTGCTTCCATAAAGTAAACCCTAAGGGGCAGCTCTAGTCTTATCTTATGGGCTAGCTCAGAGTTGGGATAGGATTGACAGCAGTGGTTTATGAGGGTACTTCAAAATGCTTGTGGGAAAATTTACTTAAAAGATTGTGGAATTTTTTCAAGGGTTTTGGAAGCTCCTTCCTATAGGTTATATATGTATGTGTATAAATATATATGCATATGTTTATGTACATATGCATACAAATGTATGTATCTTCCTGTGCACTAAACATTCTTTAAACCTTTACAGTATTGAATTATCTTATGCGATTCTAGCAATAATATTATGAAATGAGATAAGAAGTAAGTACTGCTAGTGTCTCGCCTAGATATCCTTTATTGGCAAATGCTCCCTTCCCCAGTGATAATGAGTGATGATCATTGAAGACAGAAAGTCATCTACCTAGAGGATTGCACCCTTTTAAACTATCTGTGTTAGACAGGGTTCTCTAGAGAAACAAAACCAGAATGCTAATAATTTTATATATTTATTTATTTATTTATACAGATATAACATAAGAAATAAACAGTTAATTAAATTATAAAGCAGTACAAAAGGCTCAGTGCAACTCACTCCCATGAGACAGTTGTGAGACACTCTCAGTCCTTCAAGTCTTGAGGGCCGCCGGGTAGTCCTCTGTAGAGCAATTCAGGCTAACCTAAGGTGACCAGATTTTAACATTGGTAAAGTGGGACACCATTGACTACAGGAGAAAGGGGTGGGGTGTGGGGGTTCTTGATTAAAAATTTGGTCTATATGGAGCAACAAAAATTTTCATAGAACACAAAAATAATATTGCAATTTTTTTAAATTTCAACATAAGTACAATTTACAAATTTAATACATTAAAAATTATATATAGTATTATTTTATTCTTTGGCATATTTCTCATTCGAGTGAATTTTTTTTAGTAGATTGCTGTCGTTGTTTAAAAGGTCATGAAATTTTTCACAAGAGTTTGTTAAATTATATTTCACACATAAAATGGCTTTCAAAGTCTCAACACTTAATTGTGAATTTTCTGATGTCCACACTTTATTTACCATAGAAAAAATGCGTTAAGTCACAGCATTAGTTCCTAGTAAGGACAGCGCGTATTCCACAATTTTTAGTGCATTATTGTATGGAACATGGTTTGTTTCAAAATGATGAAATATTTCTAACCATTTGTTCTCTATTGTGATTTTTGCTGATGCCCAAGATTTAACTTCTTCCTTATCAATATATTTTTTAATGATACCTCATTAAAAAGATCATTTTCGGAAATATTACTATATGGGAAATTTTGAGTAATATGATCGAATGATTTTTTGCACATCATTCCAGTACTGTCTGCTAAATTCAAGAAAATTTATGTATTTATGAAATAAATAAATTACCTAAATTATCTGAATAGCTAATTTGTTGAGATCACTTGTTTAACTAGCACTTGCACGCAGTACGATGTGTATCATCTGAGAGACAGTTACTAAACGTTTTCGTCATTTTCAATGCTAAAAAATGCCATTGTTCATTAAGTCCAAACAATGGTGGTCAAATTCTAACAACTGATCAACAATGCGAACTTTGATAAGCAGTTCTCGATAATCAGTTCTCAACAGTTATTTGTTATTATTAAAGTTTAACATTATAAAGTTAACAAAAATAATATAAAACTCATATCCTGGGGAAATAGCCACATGGCAGCCGACAACTGTATATTCCCTTTCCGTTCTCCCGCCGTTCCCTAGCTTGTCCTGCATTCTTTCCAAAAATTGGGACTTTTTAAAAATGCCGCAGGATGCAGGGCAAATTGTTAGAAATCAGACTGTCCCGCCAAAAGAGGGGCCTCTGGTCACCTTAGGCTATCCGGGCACAGGCAGCAAACAGCAAGGCAGGTCACCAACAGTCAGCCAGATGACAGTGTCCAACAGTCCCCAGCTCAAGAGATGTAAATTCCAATGGTGTGGCAAAGCAGGTCTTGGAATGAACCTCAAATTACAGCGACACAGTCTATGGGTTAGGTGTCCCACAGGTAGTGTAGCTTGTAAATTGAGGCAGAGAACAAGCAAGACAGCCAGACACTGGTCTGATGATCAAAGAGCAAGAGACAAGAAAGGCGAGGGTCAGGCTCGCCAAGCCATTTATCTCTCCACCTTTCAATTAACCCCACATGTGTTTATCGGCCACGTTGGCACAATAAAGTAACTACCTCACTATCCTTCTCAAAGTTCACCCAATGACTGTTTGACTAAGCTAATCTCTGATCAGCGTCTTGCTCTTCCCCTTATCCTATCATGTCTCTGGACTCCTCTTCATCTGTGAGCACCCCCACAATATATTACTTGAATATCAGCTTTGGCTAAGCTTCTGTTTTCAGAATAAAACAGTGTTTCTTGTTTCATATTATATGAGAAGCCTGAAGCCAAGTGATGTTAACTAACTGATCCTTGATTACACATATAGTATCAAGCCAAAAGTTAAGCCTAGATGATACAATGCAAGGATTATGTAAGGACTATTTTACTAATACTTTTTATGTATTAACTTTATAGCCTCTGAATCTCTGATATTTACAGTAAAGTACTGAAAGACTTTTCAATATTTGGGGGAAAGAATTTAGCTTTACCCAAAGAAAAGTGCACTTTTTCCTTAGCTTTTGACAGATATTCCTTGGAATAATTGGAATCCCTTATTCTGAGAGTCGTAGTGGTGTAGTGGGCTGTAATCCACATGGTGGGCAGTTCAAACCCACCAGCAGCTCTGCAGGAAAAAGACTGGGCTTTCTATTTCTGTAAAAAATTATAGACGTGAAGCCTACAGGCTGGGTCACTATGGGTCAGCATTGACTGGGTGACAAACCTGAGGATTTGTGCTGTTAAGAGGGACTGGTCAGATCACAAAGACTCTTTAGGGAGGTTTATATCAACTAACCTCAGGAGGCATAATATACTAAATCAACTCTAAATAGCTGATATCAGCTTCCCTGGTGAATCGTTTTGCTTTGGTCAGTCCCATTTGGCAGCACAAATCCTCAGGTGTGGCCTAGAAGTCCTAGAACAAGATTCTCCAATTACTGCAATGATAAAATTTAGACAACCCTGCAGGAATGGCCAATAAATACCAGGAACATGAAGACTCAGAGAGCTTTCTGGTCAGTGAAGAGAGGCTGATGATGTCTCTCTTTAAAATGCAGAGGCTGCACATTGGGAATGCTTTCCGGAGTTATCAGTACATTTCTCCCTTATGATGATTCTATTTAGTGCACGTGCCCCTTCCTAAAATTGATCTACCTTGGAACTTACCTGAAACCATAGTATTATATATATATTTTTTTCTTTCCTCTCCCACCCAAATTACCCTTAATTTACAGGGACAAAAAGGGGGTGGCAGGCTTGGCATGCCTCTAACAGATCATTAACTATACTAAGGTACATGGACATGAGGCAAAAAGCATGAAACAAAGGACAGTGCAAAGTACTGTGTCACTGATGCCTTCTTGACTCACTATGTCCTGTATCCAAGATAAGGCTTTAGAATTTCCTTGCCTTATGTCTTTTTCTTTTGTATCTAAAGTATATGTGACATTATAAATGAAGTATTTGTTTAAATCTATTCTGAATTCAAGTAAATGAAGAATTGGATTGCAAAGGAAATCAAAATTTATATTCATTATTTTCATCTATTCCACCCCCAAACCTTTATCAATATCCAATGCTCCTATACATAGATGTTGTGAAATAAGATCAAGGTGAGCAGTATAAGAAATTGAAAGTAAAGAAAAAAAGAAATTGAAAGTAATGATGACATAGCTTCCAGCATCACAGCAACATGCAAGCCACCACAGTACAAGAAACTGACAGACAAGCTGTAGGTAGATGGTAGATAACTGTTAAATTGAGTGATGAGGATAAATACAATATAAGAAGATTAGGGAAAAAATGAGTGAAGCAGGTGAAGACAGTGAGAGGTTTACAAGCGTTAAAAGGCAGCAGAGCCACATACTGTTATATACACAGTTCTTCAATAGAAGTCATTTATGAGTATATACTTGCATAGACATGCACACTGTACAGATTTGGGAAGGAAAGTAGGAGTATACTCAGGAATACATGCAGGTTTGAAAGAACATGTTTGTTTATGTATAATTAATTTTGCTCCAAATGTATGTATGGATGTAGTTGAACATTCAAGTGGCAAGTTATGAAAACTTCGAAGAGATAGCCAGATACCTTGAGGGAATTATTTTCTGAGCTTGGGGGAATAATATATACACGTAATACTCTGGCAGCTATGCCATTGGTATTTCATATACCAATTGGGGTCATCCAAAGTGAACAGTTTTCATCAGAACATCCAGAACATCATTGCCTATAAGAATAGACAATGAGGAAGGAATCAGCTACCCACTTCCTAGAAAGTTGCTGCTGAAAACATTATACATAACTTGGGAACATTGTTATCTACTGAAAGCTAATGGAGGGAAGCAGAGCACTATTGGTGATAATGCCAGAGGATGGGCCCCTGAAGTCAGTGGGCACTCTAAATGTGCCTCAGGAGGAGCTGCTTTCTCAGAGAGGAATAGATCATGGTGGGATGAGTGAGGTAGGAGTGGAGCCTTTGAGATCTTTAATTGCTCATGATGCATGATGCAAGGAGAAATAGCTGCTAATGATCAGAACATGGAATGTTCAAAGTATGAATCTAGGAAAATTGAAAATGGTCAAAAATGAAATTGAATACATAGAAATTGATAACCTAAGTATTAGTCA